GGACTGCATCCTCGAGGTTTAAAAACTCCACATAGGCCGTATCGTAGCTGTAACCTGGGGACAGCATTTGAAATACAGATGGGTTTTTGTTAGTCAATGCCAGTAATGACAGTCACCCACTAAAACATAAAAGACAGCAGTTCGTGAATACATCGAAATCAGTGTGAGCGAATTTTTACACTTTTACTGACACACATACCTTTTCAGGAAAACACACATTTTGTTTATGCTTTTTTCTATTCAGCCTTTTGATGACTGACATATCAGACTTTGCCAGGAAAGGCTTTGATAAAGCCAAGCCTTAACGGACAGATATTCCAGACCAGTGGCAGTGAACAACTGCGTGGTGTGCACCATGGAGACAGAAAATGTACCATTCGTGTTTACATAAAATAAATAAAATAAAAAAGGCTCCTCATTTTTCTTTCTGTGATGGACATTTGGATATATTTGTGCAAAAATTAACAACCTTTGAGACATAATCTTCACAAAAAGGCATGGCATCAGCTACAACCATGTTTACAGCGATCCACTGTTGAAAACTCTAAAGCACGTTTAGATCAGCAGGATGAACAAAGCACTAACAAGGCAGTCTCCATTTCAGGTTTGTGGACATTATTTTTCTTCAGTCAGAGCATTTATATAAAGTGTCCCTGAAGGACACATTCAGTGAGTCGCTTGTTTTTGTGACAGACATTGAATATCACTCTCCAAAGCTCCTTATATTGAATCCTTGGTAAATCCTGTAATTGCTGACAATGACCCCAAATCCTCAGACATGAAAAAAGGATGCCATAACAGAACCCCCCCCACCCCCCTTTCTTCTATACTGAGCAAGTTCACACAGACCACCAACAACAAAAGCAACCAAGAACGTAAAAAAGAAAGAATGCGGAGTTTCGAATGTCGTAAAAGCGAGATATCGAGGGACACGTTAGCGATCGACTGCCCCAAACAGTTCCGCAAAGAAACTCAATTCTTACCTGGCACAACATTTTTGATTTTCATCCCCTGCATTGGCACACCATCACGGACTGCAAAGGCACCAAGGATCTGCAATAGAACATTTCAAAATGAGTGAGTTATGCCATGCCCACAATACTAGTACAGTCTGGTAACCATAACTAAATACTACATAAAGTTGCTTTTCTGTTTGATTACCTGCTCCATTGTGGCAGTCTTTGGAATACCAATTATGGATATTGTATTGGAAACTTTGTCCTCCACTGATGCACTCCTGTAATCTTGATCCTTTTACAGAAATGATGATTAAAATTCTGGTTATGAAACATCACAATATTATAATACAAATGTAATCTATGAACAAATAGTAGCAAAATAAAAAAGACACGTACCTGAGAACCAGACTCACTAAATTTTGATGGTGTGATTGGTTTAGATTCTTTGATGAGTTTGTCTGGTGCCTGAAGTGCCTCGCGTTTGTAGTCAAAAGCCCTCCCAGACCCTGTTCTGTAGTCGATGTCCCTGTAGTCTTGGTCTCTCGTCTGTACTGTGCTGCTGCTTTCAAAATCACGTTCTGACCCCATCTTACCCCTGGCAGGTCCCTGATTGTGTGGGATATCCTTCAGCCCTTTAAAACAATCACTTGGCACCTGGATCTCATGTGCGGGCTGATTCTTCTCTTTATGGTAAGGGGGCCTTTCGTCACGATTGGATTTATTCTGACTATGCTTTGGGTCCCTTTCTCCAAGCCAATGTTTATTCTGATTTTCTCTCCCAAGAGGGCCAGTAAGGGGACTTATTTCTGGGTGTGGGTGGTTTTGTGGAGGTTTGCTGCCAATTGTTGGGAGATCCATAGCGGGAAAGTGGTCACCACGAGGAAAGCCAACATCTTTCCCTGGGAATTCAACGGGTGGCCTGTCCCTTTCTTGAAATGGTGGTGGATCTCTAACATTTACGTCTCGGCCAAAACCTACAGGAAAGTTGGGTTCGGGTACACCTCCCATGCCTTTACCCATGTTCAAGAAAGGATTTTTGTCCTTTTGACGGTTCTTCCATTCCTCTGCAAGAGTCATCTCTTCACCACTTCGATAATCCATAAGGGGACTACCACTTGAATCTGTATATTCTCTCTCTCTGAGTGCATCTTCTGCACCCATAAACTCTGATCTTTGAGGGCCAGAAACATCTGAAGGCATGTCTGATCTTGCCCTGTCCACTGGAGGGACATCACTGTTTCCAAATCTCAATGGCGATCGATCCCTACCTCTAAATTCAGCTGCTGGTCCGTGACGATTTCTGAAATCCATATCAGAGTCAAATCCACCTCTTGGATTGAAAGGTGGCCCTCCTCTTCTGTCAGTGTCCATCATTCTCCTTTCACGTGGAGGCATGTCCATATCATAGCGATCAGTGTCACCAATGCCCACTGGGGGCCTATCACGCATGTCCCTAAATCCATCATTTCGCTCCATTCGGTCCACAGGAAACCCCCCTCTTCTTCCTTCAACATTGGGATTGTTGAACTGTGGCATGTTATAGTGAAATGACTCTCTGTCTCTGTCCATAAATCTGCTGTTTGGTTCCCGTGGCGGCATACCCCTCCCTCCCATGTCTGAGTTCCTGCCTGGTCCCGGGAAACCAGAAGAAGAATTCATAAGTTTGTCTCTGATGGAAGTTTCATAGTGCCTTCTAAGGCTCAAGTCTTGCTCTTCTCCTGGTCTAAAAAAATCTCTGTTTGGCTCTCTACCTCGCATTTCACGTGGGTCCATATCACGCCCCCTCATGGGTGGCCCATCCATCCTCCTCATATCCATAGGTGGTAGATCTAGAGGTCTTGGGCCCATATGACCCATGGGACCCATGTTCATGCCGTCTCTACCTCTGTAATCCGGCATGGGACGATCTCTGCCACCAAACATTTCTCCACGATGATCGCCACTGGAATGTATATTAACATGTTAGGCTTCTGATTAATTTGAAATGCACAGGCAGGGAAAAAATATCAAGTTGATTTTCAATTGCCCAACCATAAAGGCATACAAAGGGGGGGCAATATGATAGTAAATACTGGGAAGTCAGACATTTTTCAATTAACTGCAATATGGTGAGTAGCTATAGAATGCAGAAATATGAGAAAATTATAGTTGCTAAATATGTAAACAAATACTGAATGGTTTAAATCAGTTAATGCAATAGGATTTCCAGAAAATTTTAAAATTACCTATAAATCAAGATCACATTATAAATGTATATAAAATATGATATCAGATTTTAAACATATTGCCCACCCCGGCAAGCAGCGTTACGGGAAAACACAAAAGTGCAATTACTATAAATATAAATAAAATAACATTTGTTTCCTTCTTACTAATAAGATGAAATATGACGGAATTATGTTTGTTTACCGAAAGGGTGGTCCTCCCCGTGGTCCTTGCCCTGGCCCTGGTCCGTCCCACATTGTAAGTCAGTATCTTATCTGCAAGTCAAGTGAAAGGTTTGTATTATATTACGAAGAGTAACATGAATGCACCACTTTGACTTGGCAACGATGGATATATGTTACCCATCACAACCGATAAGAAATTGACTTTGACGGCACAATCTGACACGAGAGTGATTAAAAATCTCTGAACACACAGCCACATGAATATGATTGTTTACATGTTGGCGAGTAACGTAAGTTATATTATGTCTGTGCTACAGTGGCGATACTTAAAAGATGGCTGCATACGCCAAACCCGGGGCAAGAAACACTAGGTGGTGTGATCGCTAATGCTGGCCCGCTAATTATAGCCATCACTAGGCCTTCATAATCTACGCCACAGCACAAACAAGTCACGTTAGTAATGAAAACAACTGTGCTGCAGTGAAAAGGGGGAATTAAAGACAACAGCCGTATGAAACGGTGATGCTAGTGTGATTAATTTAACGAGCTATAGACCATTACACACCAACGTCAGTCCATCGGCAAAGACCATTCACAGGGTGACGCTATCGGAGCTAACTTGGCTAGCGTTAGCGTTAAAGAGCCGGTTTCTTGGCGTTAGCTCGCAGCTGAGCAGCATCCTTTGAAATAAAAACACATTTCAATCCACTGTGTACTTCTCCTTTAACGAGTAGATATTATTCGTTTAGGACCCACCTTGCTTCGCTTGTTCTCCGAGCTCAGTGTCGGTATTGAAGAGGATTTGTCGCACAGGCCGTCGATGGCTTCTGCGTATTGATGACAAACTGAGACCAACGTCAAGGAGGACTTCTTCTACGTCTGTTTGTTGCAGCGGAGACTCGGCTTACTTCTTCTTCGTTCCTTCGACGCACATGGAAACTAGACGCTTCCAGGTGAAGTTCTGCCACCCAGCGGTCATTAAAGACAGCCACTTTTATATTAGATTTTATTGGTTTTGATGAAAAACATTCACGTTATCATCATCAGGTATCATGTTTTATCATTCTATAAAAAGTTCTATATTTATAGAGCTACAACAATACCATAATATGACCCATGCTTGAGTTTTAAATAAACAAATCTTAGTGGAAAAATCAGTGCAATAATGATAAATGATAATAATTAGAATAACCACAATAGTATTATTATTATTATTATTATTAATAATAATAATAAATCCTCTGTTATCTAACTTACTACTTTACCAATTTGTGTAATTTGGCATACAGAATATTATGGTTTAGCATAGATTCACCTTGGCTGGGACATAATATTATCTGTACATATGTCGCATGTATTATTGATTCTGTATTAACTGTCAGAAAATCTTGCTTTTATGCCATCAAAAATTGATACTGTTACTTTTGTTCTGATCTGAGCACTCAAATGTCATATATCTCTTCTTGAAGCATATGTGTCCTGAATACAGTTTTCTTTTAAAACATTGTCTACTGCTATTCTTAAGATGACCATGGTTGCCTGCATTTTTCGCAATAAAAAGTTGGATAAAATGAAATGGCAGTTGTTGGAGTGTCTTGCTATTACTGTCAGTGAGGGACAACTTGAGAAAAACGTCACAGTTTCAGCAATATTAGTATTGCTCATTTTATTCATTCACAAGCGTTATAGCAACCTATTAGCTCAGCTAAATGTTGCTGAATACACACATAAATAAAAAAATACACATGTATACAATGCAAATATACATAGTGGTACAGTATATGGACTCAGCTATAAACTCTGAAATTACTAATTACAAGTGACAACACAACAACAACAGCTAAAACATCACTGCACATTCAATGCTCTAAATTTAGTTTTTTGTGTTTTAATTGAAGTGTGAAAGAGGACAGAACACAAGTATCAATACAGAAGCGTAAAACTAAACAGAAGGGCAAAGGAAAACAGCTAAAACATTTCAAAGAAATCTGTAAGCAATTATAATCAAGTTGTTTCTTTTGAAACATTTCAGTACATTACTGCAACAAATATTAAGGCACTTAAACTTAAAAATATGCTTTCTTGCTGCCGTAAAATTGTAAGTTGACTGAAGTTGTACTGCATAAAAGATAAACCAGCAGATATCTAGTCTGGGTGTTAAATTAAATCTGATTGTTACCAAATAACTTGACAGTGTGTCATAGGTGTTATACCTTTTTGAAATTTTTTAGTTATATATAATAAATATTTTCAAATCTTAATATGATCAGTTTACCAAATCTTTCAACTCATAATTTTAAGTCACAAGACATGAACTTAGGGTTGTAAGTTCTGAAGCTGAAAACTAGCAATTTGTTGAAACAGACGAATACACCTATATACAATGAGCTGATGAGTAAAGATGAGTTGATTTCACTAAATTACACTAGGAGTTTTTACAGTTTTCAGGGAAAAGGAAACAACAGAAGAGCTACTTTGCAACTAGCTTTAAAGGGACTTGTACACAAAATAACAAGGGAGAGTGAAGAACACTATTCAATAGACCAATCAGTACAGGAGGCAAAAATTATGAAATGCATGGTGTTGTGAAATAATTATGCAAACTGGGGGATAGTCGAACAGCATAGACATGGTATCATCATGCCAAATAAATTGGCTCTACTGCACATGTGCTTGTTGGCTGGCAAGGGTCCTCCTCTTGTATTTGTTTGATGCCTAGTCTCCCTTTCTTTGTGGCAACATTTGGGGAACGTCGCCATTGCACCGTGCCTGTGTCTGCTCCTCCTGTCTGGCTGCGCTGGGCAGGGAGAGTGCAGAGATGGTGGCAGTCTGTGTGTCAGGAGCCTTTTCAGTGAGAGCAGCCTTTATGCTGGCGGCAACACTATCGCTGCTGCCGGCTGGAGGAGCAGGAGCGCCACCGGGTGTGTTGGGGTCAGCTGCTGAACCGGAGGCCCCAGAATCGCCCTGCTCAGGCGCTCGAAGTCTCTTCATGAGGGTGGTCACTCTAACAGCTTTCTGTGAGTAATAAAAAGATATGGAGTTAAAATTAAGTGACGACATACAACAAATGTTCCCGATCCTATACAATATTAAATAAACTCAATAATAATAATAATAATAATAATAATAATAAATAATAACTAAATAAACTAAGTTAAGTTGAGTACAACTGCAGTACACTCCTCCTAATTGGAGACTCGGGTCATGATCATGAACATTTAGTCCAACGCATATAATAACTAATGATATATGAACAAACATGTGAGATATATTAGACGTAATACCTTCCACTTGGCTTTGGCAAAGTTCTTTTCTATTTGTGCACAAACGCCATCCTTGATGTTCTTGTCTGAGGCAGCATTTCCAGAAATCCTGAGAGAAGCAACAAGAGAGTAATTTTTTCCAGCATGCGATTATATTTGTGGCACCCCTATAACAACAATTATAGCTTTGGATTTTTTGACAATTAATGTTTGATTAACTTCATTTTTTACCATTCATGGGCAATGGCTTCCTGTGCAGTCAATCGCTGATCTTGGTCCACTTCCATCAAAGATGCCACCAAGTTTTTGGCTGTAAAATAAAACAATTTAAACATCGAACTGAATTCAGACTGTGTAACATATATCTGTAACATATGTTTTAATAAACTTATTATCTCCTACCAGAATCTGAAATGTCATCCCAATATGGTGAATCAAATTCATAGTCCCCTGACAAAATCTTTAGGAAAAGGTTCTTGTCACGATCATCATCTTCATCAGCATCATCATAGAAAGGGGGGTTTCCAGACAAACTGTAGATTTGGCAGAATAAGAGCATTATGGGACAACCTGTGTTTTGGTAAATGTATTAAATATACATAGGAAAATAGCTGTAGTATGCTTGTGAGCACATTCGTTGGCCACTTACAGTATATACATGATGACACCTATGGCCCAGCAGTCCACAGGACGGCCATATCTCTGCCTCCCAACCATCTCAGGAGCTGAGAGTAAAAAAACAGCTTTAATTAACTGATATTATTTTCTATTGTATGACTACAATCCTAAAAAATTAACAAATTAAATGTATACAGTCTAGTTTTATTTCACTTACCAAGATATTCTGGAGTCCCACATGGGTCCTTAATGAGTCCATTTTCCAGTTTTGCCAACTGGAAGTCACTGATAACAATTTTGGAGTGCTTTAAACGATTAAAGTACACCAAGTTCTCCAGCTGTACGAGTACACAAATAAAAGTTGATCAAACTGGAAAGTATAGAGCAGTTATTCATGCACATTTTGTTTGGCCTGTGGTGAAATGCTGTTATTTTTCACTAGGTGTCAGCAGTGTAATATACCTTAAGATTTCTGTGGACAATTTTCAGAGAGTGCAGGTAAGCTACAGCTTCCAACACCTGCCTCATAACATTACTGGTGTCCCTCTCAGAGTAGTATCCTTGATCTAAGATCCAGTCAAACACCTCTCTGCCTGTAGCACTGAAGAGATGGAACATCCAAATTTAAATGCATGTCACTTGTTGATGACAAGAGTGCAAAATAATCACATGTTGAATAAAACATAATGCGAGATGCGGAAGTACAGTGCACGCCAGTCTGTGCCAGCATTTTCTCTCGAGTGCCACCAATAATACTCACAGCTCCAGAAAAAGGAAGTACTCTTTCTTAGTTTCAAAAGCGTCAACCAGCTGGAGGATGTTATGATGCTTTATCCTTTGAAAGGGAGGAAAAAGGGTGAAGAGAGTAATGGGGGGGGTGTAAGTGGGGTTAAAATGAGAAATAAATAGTGAATGAGTATTACAAGCTATAGAGCCATGGTCTCATGTCAAACATTCAGGACAGTTAAGGTAAAACTCATAACTAATAACTACACCAGTCATTTTTCACAACCTTCAAAAATTGCCAGTATTACAGCACCACAATCAGTCCAACTGATGGTTCACTCAGTCAGACTGAGCCCAAGCTTCCCTTGGGTAATAACATCATAATAATAAGTAATTTTAGGCATTTTAATGTTCAATAATCATCACTGCCTTAAATTACTTTTTGATTTACATAAGTCTGGATCATGCATTTTGATTATTACTATAATATCCTTTCATTTGCTAGTGAATGTGTTGGCCTTTATTACTTACTGTTCTTGGTGCAAATATGGGTTGTAAGAAAATATCGAAAACTATCGTATGGCAAGTTTTTTTGTAATGTAACTATTCTCAAAAAGACTGTATCATTGTTTGTGGTTAAACCTCCAACTGCTAGATAGCACTGTTGTAAATGTAAAGTGAGGGCTATGATGTTGGATGTTACAGCGACTGTAAGAAATACAAAAGCAGATCCCAATGTTCTTGTTGCACAAAAACAGTAAACAAAATGTTATCTGATTTTATGCAAATTCTGGTGTGTTCCTTATACTATGACAGTTTTCCTATTTTTTCAAATTAAATCGCAATATATCGCCTACCTTACAGTATCGCTATATCTCACAACATATTGAATCGTAACCCATATATTACTCTTCTTTGCCAGTACACAACCCTAGTGCAAATGTGACTAAAGTACGGAAACAATTAATTCCCAAGACACATTATGCTTAAACAACAAGCCTCTGTAATTTCCTCAAAGAGATAAGCAAGGGCTTGTGCCCTAGCCAGGGAATGTCCTGTCACAACACAACCTGTCAACAATATGCAGCGTGTTAGATTTACCTGAATAGTACAGGTTTGACAGACATGCATCTCCATAGTACGAAGTGGAACACAGAGCACCTTAATCGGAAAAGCCTGGCACAGTGGTCTCATTACCGAATAACATAAAACAATATTGTCATCCAGTGCAACGGCATGGCTCAATAATGTGTTTTTAGCTGTTACAGTGGAAATCTGTTACAGTGGAAAAAAGAAAATATAGCCACCTTTTGAACAATAAAAGAAGAACTAAAGCAAACAAATCATGACTCTGTTCACTAGATGCAAAGATGGTTTACTTATACAGTAAAACCTGCATGGTAGTACCAGAACTTTACTTTAAGAGTACTATTACAGTATATTACTTTTAGAATGCACAAAGGCAAAGACTTCAGGATGTTAGTTTTTGAGTTTTTTCACCACACTTTGTCTCTGCTAGACCTGAGGAAAGAATTTTGCCGTTCATCTGTCTCAGTGCCAGGACATTTCCTCAGACATGTAAGCTCTATAATAAGGAGCTTAAATCTTCACTTACATCTTTAAGATCATTATCTCATTTTTGGCAGCTTTCCTCACTTTTCTTCCATCCTTTTTGTGGAACTTTTTACAGGTGTACATTTTCAAGGTGTTCCTATCCTTCGCCCGGAATATCTCACAAAACTCCTCTCTGTTAAAAAGATAAAAAGAGGAAACGTCCATCATATTTTGAGCAAAATGTAGTTCTAAAGGTCTTGTGCTTATCAACATTACAAAGTAGATGTACTCACGATTTAACAATTTGTCCGAGGTCATATTTCTCGGTCACCTCTGAGGGATTGTTGTAATCCTTCTTCTCCCCGAGTGTAAGACAACCAAATGGCATGGCAGCTCGTGCCCTAGCCAGGGAATGTCCTGTCACAACACAACCTGTCAACAATATGCAGCATGTTAGATTTACCTGAATAGTACAGCATCATTTTGACAGAAATGCATCTCCATAGTGTGAAGTGGAACACAGAGCACCTGAATCGGAAAAGCCTGGCACAGTGGTCTCATTACCGAATAACATAAAACAATATTACTGTAAATTTATTGTTGTAATAAACTGTTTCATTAATGACACTAATAGAAATGGAGGAAATTGTTGCTCAGTGATGGCGCTTAAAACAAAATGAATGCAGTAAATCAATGCACACATTTATAGGGAGCAGTTTGGGCACATGATTATTTCTCTCTCTGCGGAACCTTTTCGGTCATCTGAGAATAGATAAGTGTAATTGAGGTTGTGGGAGAAAATTATTTCAAATTACCACAAAACAACATAAAAATGAAATTTTCCAATAACATAATCTTTTCAGCGAACAGTTGTTTCTTTGCACTCTGCAGTGAGTCAGCTCTGTACTGCAGCAACAGCAGCAGCAGTAGCATTATTCATCTGTCTACTTTCTACAGTGAAGAATATTCAGATGGACTTGACCCTGTGCTATGGCTTCAACTTTTGTCTCCCCTTTTTATATTTCGAAAGACTCTTGAAAGTTGAGCAAGCTATTAACTTGCCAGCTCTGGAACCAGTATAGAAGAGTTCTGTGTTTTAGTTTGTGCTATAGCAAGCCACTGAAAGATGAAGTTGCCCACAGTTATAATCACATGCACACTGCACTTCAGACTAGCCCACAGTATTCACATTCACTGAGCACCTTACATTAATTACGCACACATGGGAGAGAAAGGTTTGAAAATGGAATCAGCCTTGCATGTATGGCTACATAACATTTGCTGTGATTAATGTACAACACTAGATAGTTTTCTTGTAACAAAAGTAAAACAAGTGCTACAATTTGATGTCACCTGTCTTAATAGCAGGGGCGTGGTATGGATAAAGTCTGCTATCACAGTGTATGAATTTCAGATCTAGTAAAATTTCTTATTTATTTCTTAAGAAACTTTATGGATAAAATAATTGACAGAGGTGTCTGTTTTTGGCTACGGTACATCATCACATTGATGCAGAAATCATATAAAAATCCAATACTGCCATAGAGCAGGGCTGCTCATTGATTTGGAGCATTTCCCACAACACAACCAGAGATATGACCGTGAAGGGATAGATACACCGCAATCTTAATGGTGTATAAAACTCTCTGATGGTCTACACAAATATATCATCTCCCACTATATATTGTCATCATCCAACCATACTTAATAAATAAATAGTGGTCACTGCTGACAAAGGTAGCTGACTGCTGCTGTTAATACCTGGTAACACAACATAAATAAATGCATGAGAAATCTTTGCATTCAACATAACATTTCTAACTGTAGACAAATAAAAAGCCCAATAAACGAAGTTCACCCACATGGAGTCCTTTAACACATTTCTATGCCAATTTCACGGCCTCAATAAATAAATAAATAGCTCAATAATAAATAGCATAACCCTGCTGCTTTGCTTTCATCATGGAAACTGGAGAACTACCATGGACATAGAGTTATGTAACACTGGCTTACTTGCTATAACATGTTGTTCTGATGTAGCTTGAACAATTAAATGTCTCCTTCATTAGTAACTTTTTGACGTATTTTTAGTAAGAGACGGTCGTAGTAAAAGTAGTTACTAGTGGACCCTTTTGTTGTAAATGAGGGGGACTTGAAATGCTGCAGCTGCACAGCAGAATACTACACAGGTCCATCAGTAGCAGCTAAATATTACTGGTAAAATAGGATGCTTGTATGGAAAACAGACCCAGTTTTTGGCAGGCCTTACAGGAGAAATGGCAGCCAGCACAGAAGAGTGGGAGTAAAGAAATTCTGACTGAGGTGCTGTCTGGAGCCTCAGTCAAGACCCTATCAGAAGCAGAGATTTCTCCTGGCTTTATCATCTAGTAATATCTGTAGAACAACAAAGAGTGGTCTTATAAATATAAAAAAGGGGATTCAAAGAATACACGGTGAGAGGATTAATATGCTTTGTTACTGTTTATTACTTAGAAGCCGGATGTTCATGCAGAAGCTCTCATGTTTCTGTCATACTGTGAATCACGAGAGAGCCCTTTAGTTGAAGTAGGCTCCGTATACAGTGTGCAACTGTCCACAAGGGGACTCATTACTTTATGATCCAGACTCTGTAGAGCTCTGCTGCAGAGCTGATATAAAAAGTGTTACCTTATGTAAATTGCTTGATTATTATGAGAGACTGTTTCCACTGATGTTCCTCATTTAAGCCTCTTTATTGATACTGATTTAATGCAGCATATCTGCCTTTGATCCATATTCTGCAGGGAGAAAAAATAATTCATTAAGTTTTTGTTTCATTTGAATATAGTCCTATAGGCCCACATTAAAAGGGCATTGAAGTAGCTGTGCTCCCATGCTGCAAAGTCTCTTTCTTTAGCTTTCTACCCTCCCACGGACAGATTGCATGACCTTTTCATTATATGGGATAGGTCAGCATGTCACCAACAAGGCTTTAAACCTGCCAGTCACAATTATTTTAGTTTTTCCAAAATAAAATATTCAGGAATTATTAATAGACATTAGACAGTGGCTTCAACATGTTCAAGGGACTGGGGAAAATGATCTGACATTAGTACCTTTCCATTATAAAAAACAAAACACTTACTAATTATAACAATTATTAGTCCCTATCTATCCTAAGTGTTGGAGCAACAGCTTTTTTATGCTCTTAACTCTAGCTTGGTTCTCAAGGTAAAGTATGTCACGCATTGACATGAGCACTTTTTTTAAATGATCCTCTGCCAGAAAAATTACAGAAACAAATCAAAATGTATACATTTTTACAGAAGGAAAATTGGTATAAGATTGTCCACCTGTTCATGTAAGTAAATTTATGGTACTTCCCTCTACAAGAAGTGTTCATACCAATTACAAGATCTCTGACCTGCCCATGATATTATCTAAACTTCCCAGCATGGCCTGGTATGTACTGATCTTCACCGCAGTTAATTCTGTCAGATTGACACAAATTTATTAACTGGACTGTATATGTTATTGCAAGCATGAATTATGAATGTTTCTAAGTCCCCATTACTTTATGTAGTCAAGAGTAAACCACCTGTCACTCTCACACTAAGCCAGCCTTTATTTAATCTTGTGCATCAGGACGTCTACTGCAAGCACCCAAAGGGATCAAGACCTTTCTATCCAGATATTACATTTATTTTTTACTCAGGGCAGGATTTTTTCCACACATATGCACAAGTAAAGAACATGTTTTCCAGGGCTGAGTAAAGAGGGTCGGAGAATGCTGCAAACTACTCAAACAAAGAGCCCCTCTCTTACTGAGGCAGTCTAGCCCAAACAAATGACGTATCTCAGTACACCATTTGCCTGATCAACATGCAGCATACAATAGCATGTGCCCTTCTGTCCTAAAGAGGAGGGCTGTCAGTACACCATTAGTCTGGAGTATGATGAGCATTTGGGAGATATGCTCCAGCTAAATCACCTCCTCTGCATGAATCCTGGAAGAACAATACCCAGACTCACCATTAGTGTTTTCTGGCTCTCACCTACATTCACACAACTGAGCTGCCTGGGTATCAATTTTGAGCCATGATGCTCATTCAGACCTATAGAAGCACATAGATGATTTATACAAGGACAAACACTGCCCCTTATTTCCTTTTTGTCATGCCTTAACTCCTCCGTAATGTTTGTTGCGAGGTGTGTTCAACAGACAGCATTGAATCGTGGTCACTTTTGAAATGGCTTACACCAAATCTTCCATTCGTGACATTATATACTATACTAAGCTTCTCGGCCTCTTGAATAAGCCTTTTTGGTCACACTTTGGTGTGTATAATCATGCCACTGATAGCCACCTCACAAAAACAAACAACACTGTGCATGCAGAGCAAAGGGGCGAAGCTGATGTGAGACCATTTAATGCAATCATCCAACCTCAAAATGAATCATAGATCCCTACACCTGTTCTCGGAAGCTTGACTAACAGTGTACCACAGTGCACAAAAACACTAAACAGTAAGCATGATAAGTCAGAAAGAATTTTGTGCGCAGTTGTTTTTCCCCCTTTCAAAGCAAGATAAAAGGCTGTTCTCCTTCACAAGAAGAAGAAAAAGATGGAAAGCACTTGACTATTGCTGAATCAGGAGTCTTTTATCTTTGCCTTTTGAAAGATCTGAATGAAGTGTTCTTCATTAATGGGAATGTAAATGCTGTTTCAAATTCAGACCGTTGCAGAGCTCAGCACTGAGCAAACTTAACTGTGGACACCCTTGAAGGGCAAAATGACAAAGACAGAGCTGTTGCACTTACAAAACATATGTAAAATCTGTGTCCAATTAATGTTTTATTAGCATAAAGTAGGTAAAGGTAAAACAAGTAATAGGCCATAATACACAAGCTATAAGACCTAGAGTCATAATGCAAAAATAAGCAACTTGCATGATTTCTTGTATAAGTCAGCAATAGTATTTTTTGTTAAACTAAAATTTTAACATTTTACATTTTACTGTGTGGTTAAATCAAAACATTTTTTGAAGAAAATAAGTCATTAGCTATTATGAAAACAATAGCCATCATGTCTCAAACAGAAAATACTAGAGTTTCTGAGGTTGGTTTCGAATCAGCTTTTCCAGACACTTCAGGATATGCGTCACTGTCCCAAGGCCAACAGAGGGGCTCCATCTTTGAGCTACTCTCACACAACATAAGAAACTAAGGAGCGATTTAGGTTTCAGGTGTGGCTCTCTGTCTTTTTTATTTGTTTTGTTTTTACAGTTAATGCAGTTACTGCTGTAGTCAAACTTCCTAAAGTTAAAGCACATGAGAAAAAAATGAGAGAAAAAACGGACTCGATTGTTCAAATTGCAGGTATTGAACACACATACTAGGATCTTAAAGCTGTCATCTCATCTCACCATCCTCCTCCTGTCTCCTGGAAAATAAATTGCACACATCTGGATCACATTAATAACGGGACTCTGATAAACCAGAAAAAAAAAGACTATACACCATGACATATTATATTATATTAAATTATATTATTTCATGTGAGGTGTGAGAACATTATGATGGCCTGGACCTAAAATACATTGAGATTACTCACATTAATATTGCTTACACTACTGAGGTTCATTCATTCATTTGTCTATCCACTTGTATATCAGGTGACATCACCCACCACAGGTCTAATTTTGAAGCATATAAACAAAGGATGGCTGATGCATCTTCACACTATAAGTTCCAGCTGAACTACACTGACTAGCCTGAGGGGAAATGCTATTTAAAATAAAACATGTTTCACTCTAACACCTCTCAGACACTGTTGGTTCAGCTTTGGCACAGATTTGAGGGATTAAGTTCACCAAGTTTGGAAAAAATTAGCATTTTGGGAGAATGTTAAAACAGTTAAGTAATTGCTCTAATGAGGTTCAAACTGCCAATTAAAATCTCCAACAATTTGCAAATAAACAGTGTTCCAGCTGTTGCCGAATTACATTGCTTGGCCAAAGGGGAACATCATAACTAGTCTAAAGTAAAAGATGTTTAAACATTTATATCTCAGACACTCGATGCATTTTGGCATTTAACCGATTGGCCTAAGAGGTGTTAAATCTAAACATCACATTTTAAAGGTCTTAATTTTGAGACATGAATGTGCCATATTTAAATCCAAGCATTAAATTATTAAACGTTAAAAATGCAGTATCACAAAATGTTTAAAAATATTTGATTTCAGATGTAAACCCAGGTGTCTACTGATTAATTTTGTTTCATTTAATGAGATATATTTAAGTTTCTATGAGTATCAATTTAACATCAAATGGACATAAAGCTTCTCAACATAACTCAACTAGACTGCTTTCTAACTTTTTAACACCATCACTGATATGCCTGCTGAGTTGTGCTGACCAACTGAGATGAAAATTGGATGATGCGTACTGGTTTTCCCTGAAGTCGCTGCTCATTTTCATGGATATTGTTTACTGTTGCTTTGTTACAGTTTGTAGTGGGTCCTACTAACACACTTTGTCAGTGTCCAAAGGGAAGTATGTAAATGTGTGTGTGTGTGTGTGTGTGTGTGTGTGTGTGTGTGTTTGTGTGCGTGCATGTGCGTGTGCGTGTGTGAAGGAGGATATTTATGAACTAACAACTGAAATTTATCGAGCATCTTCTGAATGCAGTTGGGGGAGAGTCACACAGTACATCTCTTAAAATGTTAGATCACTGAATGAAGACTGAAGAAGATTTGTGCTTTTTTATTTGTCACATTTTATAAACATAACTACATACAAATGATTCTGTACTTTTATGTTGATTAAATAAGTATTAGGTTATTATTATTATGTCAAAGTCAGGGACAGTGGCAGTCGGCCAGAAGGAGGTGTGGATTTGGCCACAGCAGAGCCTCTTCAAAGGGAAAGGCTTGGTGACAGGGGGCAGATGGCAGATGATGTTTGAGCCAAATTTTAAAGCGTGTAATGCCTCATTTATGGTCTAAATGTCGCTACCGCTTGCTGTGACCACAGAGAACACATTTACACCTTTAATTTTCAAGGACATTATGACGGACATGAACGGAAGCCGAGAAATGTGCTTGTTTTTCCTCAAAGTCCAGAGAGAGGAAGAAAATGTTGATGAGTATGAATCAGGTCTCCTTTGTGTTTGGCTCTGCAATGCTTTGAGTCCACCATTCATCTCTTCTTCGGGCATCACTGGCTCATCTGACCAGTTTCTTCTGATGTTGTTTTGTTGCCATGGTCACCAAGTGCTACAGTATGCACCATGGTACTGCCTGCACGGAATAGCTCTCTGCGTACTCATCGACATTACTGCCACTTCATGTGACAGAAACTCAGATTACAGAGAACAAAACCCTTCAGAATATTAACCACAATATCAATAAAACAATTATTCTTGCATTTACATGATTTTACCATGTTAATCTGAAGAGAGAGAGAGCTATTTTACCTAGCTGAATGCCCAGTGACACACAGTATGACCCAGGTAACACATTCAATTCAATGTTACGCAAGTATAAGGGCCACGGCTCTGAAACCTTCTATTCAATGATGAATCTTTCACTGTTTCTCAGAATGATCCATAGAAGCTACAGACACATAAAAAAGACACCTGTAAAAAAAACAAAAACATGGTGTTTGGCAGTACTTCTGAAAAGCAGTGGTACATGCAGCGTCATACTGTACATCAGAGGTTCTATATCAATGTATTTTCCAACCTGAGATTTTGTTTAATTTTTAAAAATAAGTTATTCATAAATAAGCCATGCATTTTTCCAGTAGTTTCATCTTGTGCCTATAAAAGTCTGCTCCAACACAACACAAGGTACCCTCTCATGTCACCACCACACAAATCCATTGTTCCCTGCGTCAAACCAACTGGCTGTGCAGCAGGGCTTCCCAAACTTTTTCTTTGCACAATTTACATACATGTTATGCTACTGATGTGGTGCCATAGGAGTGCATTTACCCAATGCTGAAATGAAAACACTGCAACCCTCTCACAGTCCTCTGAAGGTCCACAGACACAAACACACACACAGCTGTGTGACTCCTTCATGATTCAGTAAAGGACAGGCACCTTCACTATTCTGACTTGTCAGGGCACTTTCCCTCCTTCTGGGGTGTATGGAAGCGGTGACTTAGCACTGACAAAGTAAGTGGGTATATCACAAGCTCTTTGGGTGTGAAATGATGACAAATAATGACAAGGAGGCAGGGACACCGCGAGACTGTGAGACTGAAAATGTGAACTCAAGAGGTGCTGCAGTCTGAGTGCATCAAGAAGAGCTTGCCTTATGTAAAATGTGAAGCGCAGTTTAAGTCTTTAAAGCTCATATAGGTACACTGGATTCACTTGTTGAGTGGCTCAAATGGGCAGAATTATGTGTAAACTTTAACAGCAAAACAGGTTTCACCGATGACAGCCTGAGGATTTTCTGACAACCTCACAGCTCCAGCAGCATTAACAGTTTAAATACACAGTAGTCTACTTGCGCATCAGCCAGGTTAGACTGGTGTTGCAGTTGAAAACTATTCTGCAGGCTCCTTACATCATGTGAGCACGTCTGATATTTCAACCAAAATGTCTGACTGCCGCAAAAGTTTTCGAAATCAATCATGTGTCCTCGGTTTTAGAGGCGGTCAAGACGACAGACACTGAATGAATAAACCTCGGAGAACATTCCTCAACATCCTTCACTTCTCGCGTTTTTAGCAATCTGACCACGGTAAGCCAAAGATTCACAAATGTGCGCTCACTTACCTTCAATGAAGTAAAACTGGTAATAATCAATAATCCAGCCCTCTGTCTGCTGTTTAAGTATTTGTTTTTGTTTTTTTATCCCCTGGTGCGGCTTCACTTTTTTTTTCCTTCCACCGATTTACAGCCAGTGTGCTATCAGAGAGATCCTCGAGCATTTCCAACAAGTCAGCTTGTTCACGGGAGTATTACGTGAACGTGTGATGGTAACAGCGGGCTATGATGCAGGAAGGAGGGGAGGTGTGCGCGCTGTAGTGTCTTTGAGTGTGTGTGTGTGTGTATGTGTGTGTGTGTGTGTGTGTGTGTGTGTGTTTGTGTCTGTGTGTCTGTGTGTGCACGTTTGTGTGCGCGCGTGCACAAGTGCAGTAATTGTTTTGATAATAATATCATGATTTTTTAACTATGAATGAACTTGATGTTCACAGTGCTCAGCTGGGGGCTGCGCGTCAAGCTGCCCCTGCACGAAGGGACAGCTAAATGTTTATATTTTTTTCTCGAAGTCCCTGTTGCTGCCAGTCATAGAAAGAGGCCATCTCCCCAGAACAAGAGCAGCTTCTCCCATATATATCTCTCTCAAAAAAGTATTTACTACTTGCACACTCACAATGTCCATCTCTGATCTGAACTGGCAGAGATGATGGCAATGGGTTGGTTTGCTGACTGGTTTTCAGTATCAATAATCAAATTGAAATTATGTGCAGATGTCATGTCCTTTGATATTACAGACTTTCCCCAATTGTATTTATTGGGAGAGAGAGAGAGAGAGAGAGAGAGAGAGAGAGAGAGAGAGAGGTAGGATGGCACACACCTTGTTGTTTAATGAATTTATAGAAAAAAGGGTGCTTTGCAAAATTATTCCATATTTAGACAGCTACGGGCTGCTTCCCTTCTTCACAGCTGAAGCACAACATAAAAATCAACTAATGTTTTGTCTCCTCTCTTAAATTTTTTTGGAGGTAAACATTGATTGTATGATGTTTATATTTGTAAAAAAAAAAGTTACATGACTACAACAGTAATCCTAGACTTCTGTGTGAATGCAACAGCGGAGCGGTTTAAAGAGAAAAATGATCTGACCATTGGTAGCACGTTGCAATTATGCACAGGTATACAGAGGATCTGCAGGGATTTTAGCTGGTAGGCAGACTCTGTAGGTTTGGCTTATATAACAGGAGTGTCTCTTTCCTAAAATGAGTAATGCCGCTAAAAGGCCATTGGGATAACAGGAAAAGAGAGTGGTGGAGCATCTTTCACCTGCTCCCCACCTACCCACAAAACCTCCTACTCTCTCTTATCTGACTACCGGTACCGCAAGGCTCTCCAAAACTCTGGTTGTCTTAGCAATACAAGTTGTGCTGCATCACAAAACTAAGGCCTATATCACTGTCATTATTTTAGAGCAGGAGGTTTATAATCCTCCAATCCTCCACTGCAGGATAGTCAGTCACTGCGTCAGCTGTCTAAGTTTAAGTCTAAAAGTAAATTTGAGACATCAACCTGAGATACAAAACCTGAATTTTAATAGGGAAAGACACTTTTTCAAATTATTTAAAGGTAAAAGTGCACTTGGAAATAGAAATATAACCCCAGTGTCACAGCAGCACAATAAAAGCATTTATTCAACAAAAGTAGTTTGTGTCAAAAATAGAGCACAGGTACACCCTAGATTTGGGTATTCTTCAGATGAAAGGTGAGGTATCTCCATTTTATGAAAGAGCCTGCAGTGCCTGAGACACAAATATGTTTAAAACAAGTCATTAATGAAACACATAACATGACAGCATTAAGATTTGACTTCACTTTCCAGTGTCTTATCAAAGACATCATCAGTAAATGAATGATCTTTTACATTTTACAAAATATGGCTTAACTCCATACTTACCTGTTCATGTTCTAATAATTGTATGTCTATGTGCTTGACACTAAAGCTAAATTGCCATTGACAACCCCGATTTTGGTGCGCTGTCACCATAGTAACAGCCTCTTAGGGGACATGGACATTGCAGCGTTTGGTGCCATTTAAAAGAAGAATAAAAGTCATTTTGCACTAACAAATCTCATGCTGTGGATGCTTATAACAACCTTGGGGATCATATTCGAATCTCAGAGACCCCAGGGGTATTTGTAATATGATAATTATTGTTAAATTTGAATTAAAAAGCTATAAGTTTGGTGGCTGGAGAGTCTGTGCAGTCATGTTACAGGATTTATTGACTCTGTAGTCTTGTGGACTAAATTTGAATCCGTAGGTCTTTCTCTGACCTTTGACTCAGTACACACTGTCTTTAATATGTCTTTAGGGGGTCTTCTGTTGCCATTTATTTGACAGTTCAAATTCAGTTAATCTGTTTATCTCAATATTTCAAGCTGTGTGAAGAAATCAGTTTTAATTGTCAGTCACTTGCATTGCCAATCATTTGAAAAGTGCATTACATTCACATAGATTTTGACCTTCAACAGTCATTGTAGCTGTTTAATAAATGAGAAGATGGTTGTAACCAGTACACTATAGCTGTTTAGGCGATGCATGCAGCATCCCTATATGTCATCTGTTATTAGTTATTTTTCGTATTTCAATGAAGATTAAAATAGCTCATAAGAATAAAGAGCCTTTCTCAGTGCCTCCCAACGAAAACAGCCTCTCCAATACCCCAATGCCGTATTTTTCTCTAATGTGATTTATATCAGTTGTAATTATCCACTAGAAAGCTTTTTTGTCTGTCATACAGTAGAAGCATACGCAAAAGTGGAATCTGCGTCACAAAGCTCGCAGGCAGTACCTCACTGTGCTTCTCTGAAACTACTCAATGCTCTGCTCATCCTTATGTTACCATGGCTGCATCTAGTTAATCCAGCATTTGTAAGTCTATGAATGGACTCGAGTGACTCCCCTGCTTCACTGTTTCAACATGTCTGTCTTCTCACCTCTACCTGAAATCCCTTACAGTGTCTTCATGGGGGGATTTTAAAAATAGAGAATATGGGCTATGTTTATATCACATCAGATTTCTTTGCTATTTCACTGGGGTTTATATTGTGAGGAGATGAAGTGAGAAACAATGAGACAGATATCAAGATTAACATACAGTAGCTGGTTTGAGTACTACCTGACAAGCTCTATTTTAGGTGTATACCCCCATTTTCTCATCAATTCTTTCTTAGCAGACAGATACTAGAAGTATGTGCTAAAAAGGTCTAAATAAGGCCTGTCTAATGTATTTAAAAACACAGACACTAAGTAAAACTACCCACTTGAGCAACAGAGGATAAGGTGTACAGCAGAATTAGGAGTGAGTATCAAAACACACTGCAAAAATATCTTTTTGCTCTGTCAGATTTAGACCAGACATAAATTTATCCTGGTGCAGTTCCGTTGTTTTAGGAATATTCTAGAAATAGGTGATTGTATCTTGAAAAAGGACACATACGTCAACCAAAGTCATTCCATCAGCAGATTCCTTTCATTATTTTAAGAAAATAGGATTTCTTTTCTGTTTTTCTCTGAAATCATCCTTTGACCAAAATATGTTTTCTCTACAATCCTGTACTCAAGCTTGTAAAAGATGAGTCAACTTATAGTTCAACTTAGTTGTCATAGAAACCAAAACCAATAGTCATGGGGTCTGTGATGGAAACCTTTGAAGGGCTGAAGGCATGCTTTTCATAAGCATCAGTGGAGACCTTGACAGCTACATTACAGCACTTTTTGAAGACGTTCAAAAGTTTTCCTAAGAAAACGTTATATGTTATACAATGTAGCATGCAAACAATTCAGTTCATGGCAGATCATGAATGTGCTTGAAAAGCTGTTGACAGTGTGTTCTATGCATTATGCAGGGTGATAACAATGACACTGTGTCTGTGATATGTTGCAGATTAATTTTTAAAATGGTGTGAACACCAAAAACAAAATTTTAATCTCCCCCATTTTTGAAATTGTGGCAGAAATCTCAGTGAACAAATAAAAGTAAAACTACATGCATAGTTTAGGTGCAAGAATGTGTTTTTTGTTTCTGGGGAATTTGGGTGGATAGACCCTTTAAGAGTAAATCATAGACAGTTGGAGAAGTCATGTGGATTTTGACTGTTTTTGCCTTCGTACAAGGAGGCAGACACAGTGTCACAGATGATACCCTCACACTTCAAGTAGAACATTTGGTGCTCTTTGAGGTTACCATAGCTACCACAACACAGTAAGACCGGATGTCCATAATGTTGATCAGCTCATAACTGCTGGTGCATCTGTGATTTCTTAGTCAAAGCAAAAAAGTCCAAACAAACACATATCTTGTGTAACTGAGTCCCCCAACTTTTAATTCTAAAAGTCTTAACGCATTGAAAAGAGTGCAATTCAATGGTAAACTAGTTTGGTACATGTTTATATTGGTTCATGCTCTTGGGACAGAGCAGCAACAATAAATAAATTAACATCCTTTAAAGGTTTCATATCCTTGTAATTACTGTAGTCTCTCTGCTCATGTGGAAAGGCAATTTATCTCCGAGTTCTCTTGTGCTAATTCAGAGTTTATGAGGGCTGCCTTTGGGTCTGCATCAGCACTTAACCACTATCATAAACAGTGGGACTCTTTTTCCTAATTGCTGCAGGCTACCACTGATACAGGACTATTGCATTTCATACACTGTGTCATATCCACAGTTGTTTAAAATTAGTTTAGTGGACTAGATCTATGCAAAAATAACTTTGTTAACCTCTGAATGACATCCTTTCAGACAAATAACATTCGGTTTAGTTTCTGTTGATCTAATAATGTATTTTTTTTTGATAATCGTCATTTTATTGACCTATGTACTGTGATGATTAATGTGGCTCTACTTTTGACTATATTAACATGGTTTAATGGTCACTATCCACTACTTTGTAAAACACAAAGTAGTCTTTAATCAATATATTTCTAAATGTCCAAATTTGAATGCCCATCAACAATATTTGTATGGGTATATATATTTAAAACATACCACTTAATTTCATATTAATTATATAGGCAGTATTTTCAGCAAATTAGAAATATACTTGCAGGGACTGGGCTGGTACTGATTTTAATGAGAGATGTGGGTCACTACCTTATGTTCATTAAAAGAATGAGCAAAAGTGCAATTCATTCAGTTAGTGGGAGAAAAATATGTATTCAATGTACTCACAGTAAAGAATTCACTTTGAGGAATATACAGTATAATAATCCTTGAATTAATCATGGAAGGAATATG